AGCGTAGCATTAGTTATCTGTTTAATTCACAATTAGTTTCTTAACACTAAGGAGTATACACCTTAGGTGTGAGCGACACAGTTGCGAAGCGAAGTGGAGCATAGTAATCTTTTAGTTATCAATTAGGTTTCTATGGTAAAAAAGATAGTTAAATTTTATTGTCTTGCAGGCCCGAAGGATGACTTGAAGAGTTATGGGTGGTCTTCAAGCATCTGAAGTTGTCAAGCATAAAATTGCATAACATAATATCCTTTAGAATATTTTTTGCAACATCTACAAGCAGAAGCTGTAGGTTTTCCACAATCATTACATAAAACACGTTTTTTAGATCTCCAATGTTCATGGCATCCTTTAGAACATCAACACCCATGTCTGCAGACTTCTCCAGAATTGTGTATATATTCGCATATATATTTACCTCCTGACTTTTCGATATATTTACCTCCCTCAATATATTCACTAAATATTTCAATAAATGAATAATTATTTTTTATTTAAACAAAAGATCTGATATATTAATAAAAAACACTGAAAAAACATATTACTATGGCCAAGATACTTAAATATCCAGGTTGTGATCGAGAAATAAGAACTGGTAAAACTCGAGATCTTAATAAACACATGAATTTAAATAGAAATCTTCATAAAGGACAATGCCAACCAGCTTTGCTTATAATGCAAAATGTAGGAAATGTTACTCTAGAGCAAAATACACCTCAAACTGAAAATGTTACTCTAGAGCAAAATCCGCCATCAACTCCTGAAGGTGATCTCATATCATTCGATGAAAACCCACCAACACTTCAGCTGAGAGAGGCAAGTGTGCCGGCAGTTGACCCTGGATAAGAGAATCAGAAATGAGTCAAAGACTCGAAGCTCAATATCCTCAATACTCTGCATCATCTAGTTCAAAGCAAAATAGCATGAGTTACCAAGATAAAACTATCTTAATTCATAAAAATATAGCAAATGGATTTGAGTTTTATGATAGGAAAAGAAAATGGTATGGAGTTAAAGAAGATTTTTGTACATTACATAACAAATATTATTTTATTAAAGCAAATAATAGAGAAACAATTATGGAAGCATACAAAAGAATTAATGATGAGTCTGAAGCTATTGCTAAAAAAACCAATAGTAGAATTGATATGCGTAAATCTAGAAATTATACATTAACAACTATAAAATTTTTTAAAGAAACCACTTTAGCACCTCAAAAAAGTGAAAAAATAAATGAACAAGAAAGTGCTGGATAGATTTAGCAACAACTGGTGCTCTAATATTTGCAGAAAGATATAAAGGAGAAGCTAATCAATACGATGTAAATTCAATGTATATATTTGAAATGATAAAAAAAGATGCATCATAGCCAATTACACCAGGTAAGTTTCATACTATAAACTCATCTTTTACAGAAAAATGGAGTAAATTTCCATATAGAATTTATAAAGCAACAATAAAAGGAAATCCTCCAAAGAAAAGTCTTCAATGTACGAGATATTTACGTTATAATCCACATGGAATTTACACACATTATGATTTAGAATGTGCGCAAAAAAATAGATTGAAAGTAACATTAATAAATATATCACCAAATGCACTTATTTATGAAAGAAATGTACGTATAACAGGAAAAGACATGTTTGGTGAATAGGGTAATATATTATACAAAATTAAAAAAGAAGGTGGAATAGAAGAAAAAGTTAGTAAAGCATTATTAGTTTCATTATGAGATGCATTATGTGAGCAAAGAAATAGACAAAATTATAGTTTATATTCATGAATAAAATCATTCTTATTAGCATCTGCACGAAAAAGAATATCAGAAATTGTGAAGCCACTAGGAGATTAAGTAAAATGTATATATACAGATAGCTTTATTATAGCTGGAAAAGTAGAACTTAAAACAGGAATAGAAATGGGTAAGCTGAAATTTGAGAAAAATGGAGTTTGTGTAGTAAAAAATTGTATATCAATTATATGGAAACCATCATATCCAGAAATTCCAAATTTGATTATTTTTAAAGAAAATAAGCTTCGCTCTACAAATAGTTTACCAGATTTTGAGAAAATATAGCAAGATAAAAAGCAGAATACAATATTAGATACAGAGTATCCTACTTCACAGACAGCAAAAAGGAAACTATCAAAAAAGTCTGATATAAATCTTCCGAATAAAATTATAATAGAAATATTTCAACATTTACGAACACAAAATAAAAGATTATGTGATAATAATGAATTATTGTTTTCAGTTTTATATGTTAACAAATGATGGAATGAATGCGCAACATATTTAATATAGAAAAGGATTAAATTATATAGATATAATATTAGAAATTTTGTTGAAATAATAAAAAAGAAACCATTACCGAATGTGATTAAATATATAAAACAGATAGAATTCAAAAGAATAGATAATTATTTTAATATGAATGAATTTCTATTAGAAGATATTGCAAGTATATGCCAATATATAATAACTATATCATTTAAGGATTGTGGTTGGGGATTTCTTAACAATAGTTCACTAAAGATAACATTAGATACATGCAAGAATCTAAACCATATATTTATCTATAGAAGTAATCAAATAGTGCCAAAAATTATCTTAAGTATACCAGAAAAATATACAAGTATAAAAACTACGTTTGTCTTATAAAGATTTTGTTCGATATTTACTTAAACCTGGTAAATTAGAATATGGTCCACCTATAAGACGGATTACAAATAAAAATTGGTCTCTTCAGATTTATCAGATTGAAAGTACTTTAATTCGTAAAGGTCAACTTGTTATGTATAAATTAGAAGGTGGACCAGAAAAAAAATTTGTTCATGAGCAATTACAATTGATTAAGAAAGTTGAACTTCCTCCCACGTAGGTGCTTAAATAATAATTTACTCATCTATAAGTATATCCTCAATAGCTTTTTCAATTTCTGTTTTACTCATAAGCCG